TATCACCTTCAGACAAAAGACTCCCAAGATCTCCATCTCCATCCCCAACCTCTTTTAGTCCTACATTTTTTCTGTAATAAAAACATTTTATCTACTTACTTATATTAAAAACTAGGATAATATCATTCATTCATCCCTTTATACCACTTCTACTAGTTAAATATGTAATTAGATTAACTTTATTAAAGAGTTCTAAATGTTTTGTTAAAAGAAACATAACATGAACCTTCAATGCCACCAACTGAACTTGTTTAGTAACCACTCTCATTTAAAATAATTAATTTCGATGCATAAAATAGTGGATATATGGTGCACTGGGCCTGGAGTAAGGAAGACTTGATCTGGCCTCAGACACTTATTAACTGTGTGACTCTGGGCAAATCATTTCACCTCTTTCACTTCAGTTTCCTCAATTGTAAAATGGAGATAACAATAGTACCTACCTTTTAGGGTTGCAATGAGGACAAAATGAGGGAATATTTTTAAAATTTTTAGCACAGTGCCTGGTACATAGTAGATGCTTAATTAATGCTTGTTGACTTCCTTCATCTCTTCTTTTCCTCCTCTCTCATTTCCCCCTTCCCACCCTCTTTCCTACTTTTTTAAAATTAATTAATTTATTTTTAGTTTTCAATAATCACTTCCATAAGCTTTTGAGTTTTAAATTTTCGCCCCTTTGGGGCAGCTAGGTGGTGCAGTGGGTAGAGCACTGGCCCTGGAGTCAGGAGGACCTGAGTTCAAATCCAGCCTCTCAGGCACTTAATACTTACTAGCTGTGTGACTCTGGGCAAGTCACTTGCCAGCCAAAAAAAAAAAATTCTCCCCTTCCCACCTCCCTCCCCAAGATGGCATGCAATGTGATATAGGCTCTACATATACATTCCTATGAAACATATTTTCACAGTGGTCATGTTGTAAAGAATTAGAACCAATAGGGAGAACCACAAGAAAGAAGAAACAAAATAAAACAGAAGGAAAAAAAAAGAACAAATAGTATGCTTTGATTTGCATTCAAACTCCATAGTTCTTTTTCTAGTGTGAATAGCATTTTCCATCATGAGACTTTTGGAGATGTTTTCGATCTTTGTCATTGCTGAGAAGGGCTAAGTCTATCAAAGTTAGTCATGCACAATGTGGCTGTAACAATATTCTCCTACTTCTGCTCACTTCACTCAGCATCAGTCCATGCAAGTCTTTCCAGGTTTTTTGGAAGTCTGCCTGCTCATCATTTGTTATGGCACAATAGTATTCCATTATATTCATATACCATGACTTGTTCAGCCATTCTCCAATTGATGGGCATCCCCTCAATTTCCAATTTTTTGCCGCCACAGAAGGAGCTGCTATAAATATTTTTGTATATGTGGGTCCTTTTCCCATTCTTATGAACTTTGAGATACAGCCCTAGAAGTGCTATGGCTGGCTCAAAGGGTATGCACATTTTTATAGTCCTTTGGGCATAGTTCCAAATTGTTCTCCAAAATGGTAGGATTAGTTCACAACTCTAGCAACAATGCATTAGTGTTCCAATTTTCCCACATCTTCTCCAACATTTATCATTGTCCTGTCAGCCAATCTGATAGGTGTGATGTGGTACCTCAGAGCTGTTTTGATTTGCATTTCTCTAATCAATAGTGATTTAGAGAATTTTTTCATATGACTGTAGATAGATTTAATTTCTTCATCTGAAAACTGCCTGTTTATATCCTTTGACTATTTATCATTTGAGGAATGACTCTTTCCTACTTTTCTAAGTCCACCTTAGGATGCTTTTTACGTTCATTCTCAGTCAATTTTCTGTGAATCTTTATTTATTATGTACAGCTTGATTTTCCTCAAAAAACAAAACAAACAAAAAGCCATGGCTTTCCCAGTACATGCTTGGAATGTAAGTAAGAATGATACCATGGGTTTTGCTTGTTATTGCCTGGATGAAAGCCACATGTGCCTATTGATATATGCTTTGGAGTTGTCACATTAAAAAGAAAGCATTAGTGACTCCATTTTGCCTTTATCTACCATTTTTGTGAAGCTAAGTTTCAGCTCCTTGTAAGTTACATTATTTTGGAAAAGTCACAAGATTACTCCCCGTCCTGAAGGTCACCCTTTTTAAGGGATGTCACAAAACTACCCTTCTCCCTCTTACCTCAGTGTGTCCCCATTCTCTCTGCCAATAAGAAACTAGGTGTCTGAAGCTCAATAATCCTGTTTTTTCCTGTTTTTCATTCCTTCCAAATTGTATGTTAACTATGTAGAAACCAATGGTCAATATTCTTGGCTATTGAGAGCATTGGACCTGGTTTGTTTCTATAACTGCTAAATAAATTGTCTGGATATCTATTCAGTTTCTATATTCCATAGTAATAGAATTTTAGGAGATGGAGAAGATATAGAGACTCACAAACAGTATATATGTCAGGTTAGAAACCACTTAAAAGAGGCCTACTGTCTTTAGCTCAGAAGTCAGAGAAACAAGCATAAGTGTGATACTTGACTTGAGTTTCTGTCAGTGGATAGAATCTTGCTATGATACTGAATGAACAAAAAAAATTTGGTGTTTACTATATGCCAGGCACTGTGCTAAGCAATGGAAATACAAATATAAAAGTGAGACAGTCTCTGCCCTCAACAAACTTACATCCTAAAAGAAGGAAGTCAACATATACATATATGAGGGTTTGTTGTTTGTCCTTTGTTTTAGAAGAGTACCATCTTGTGATGTCTTGAGTTGCATGTGAATTGGATTTAAGTGAGGCAGAGCTGAGAAAACTCATCATCCTAACTCTTTCTTTCAGAGTCATCAGAGTCCAGTGGCAAGACCAAAGTCAAGACTGGTGATGGTTCAGATGACTGAAAAATGACCGAACAACACAACAGGGAGCCAGTGGAGTTTATTGAGTAGGGATATAATATATATGGAAGTAAGGAAAATGGCAATTTGGCCTGGGTAGACATCTGGATGGAATGTGAAGCATCATTTGATCCGGGGGTAAGCTAGCTGTTGTAGGTTAGGTGTGTATACTCAGTCACACATCAATGAAGCCAGCTCATCCCCAGGGCAGGAGTTTCAGTGGCTAGAAAAAACACAAGCTGGTATGGAGTTATCCCTTATAAAGTAGCTGAACTTTTGTTGAATTTGCTGGTCTACACAACAGCTCCAGAGAATAGTCAGGGCTCAGCAAAGTTGATATACCACAACTACTGGCTGTACATAGGAAAGCTAACCAGACCCCCTTTTGAGTAGGAAGACAGAGGTGATGGAGAGCCAAGGAAATGAATTCTACCAAGGGTCCATCCATTGTCTCTAGGTGAATAGTTGGTGCCAGAAGATGACCCATGTGAAGAGCAAATTAGATCTTGATTCAGGTCATGAGGAAAGTATTTTGGTAAATTCTTGCAGATCAAGAAAGTCTAGCAAGACTACTATAGTCTGAGGGACACCTATTCCTGGACAGAGGGGGAGAACTGAATAGAGAGTTGCTCCTTTCCTGTCTAACATTCCAACTGTGAAACCCCCAAGGAAATGTAGATCATGAATATGTCCTGTATTATTAGGGGATAAAGACAGTGATTTTGTCCTCCTTGGCCCAAGACTGAAACAGCCCCTTATTTTGAAATTCCCTTCTGGCCCCTTCTTTACACAACTTTCTTCCTTTTGTTTAGGAAATAGAAAGACCCTGAGCTCACACATTTCACTGAGAAAGATGTGGAACACTGTGTATACCCTAACTTGAAAGTGTGAACTCAATCCCTAAGGAGAAGCCAGAACCTAGAATGACTCTCACTGTATCCCCCCAAGTGCCCATTACACTATTTAGGGGCCCTTTATTTGACTGTCTTCAATATAGCTAGAATCTCCTAATGGATCAGGAACTGAAACAGACCCAACTCTGAGAAAGGTCATTTTGAGTCAGGTGATGATAGAAAGGATAAGGAGCTACAGTTGGGGGATTTGAAAGCAAGGTATCCTATAAAGACCCAAGATTTGTTTTTCAAGAAGGCTTTCTCAACCATGGGCAAGTCTGAACACCATGATGGTAGGAGATTGTTATGGAAACCACCAATGGTGGCTGTAGAGAACTTTAGACCCTCTCCATAACAAGAGAAATAAAACTTTTAGGTCCATGGTAGAAGATTTTGTTGTTGAATTGCCAGAAAAGTCTATGGACCCACTGTTCTAGGCTAGGCTCCTGTTACACAGCACTGATACAATTAAGACTTAATTAACCTCACCATGTCTAGTTAGAATTGTCTGCTGAAATGCTCCTTTGAGTTGCAATACTGCAGGCCCTTTGTCTGAAAACCCTGGGTAAAATCTGGGTTCCCAGAAGCTCTGTGCCTTCAAATGGTGTATATCCCACTGCTTGTCTGGGCCACACTTCCTTTATGCTGTTCCTGAGACAGTGGGAGCAAGAACCGTTCCCTCACCTTCTCATTTTTCTATTGCCATAATCTCAACCTACATGCTGCCCTTCAATTTCATTTCACCCTTTTGATGAAAAATAGGTTTAGGAAATTGCTATAGCAAACTCCAGGATCAGGCTGATACCTTTTTTTTTTCAAGTTATAGTCTTAGAGAGGGTGCCCCTGAGATGTTAAGTACCTTGCCCAGGTTCATACATCTACTGATTATTAGGGGCAGGATTTTATACAAGCACTCCTACCTGGACTTTTGATAGGTTTTCCACTCTCTGTTCACTGTTTGAGGTGGTCTCATAAGAAAAAGTTAAAAAAAAAAAAAGAAAAGGTTTAGTATTGCCTGAAGACATTAAGAGGGAAAGAAAATACAGATTCACTCTTAATTTGTGGTATTCAGGAGTTTGTTTTTGCCCCACCCACTTCCACTTAATTAGCTTCTTTCTTCAACCTTGATTGAAAAAGTGAGAATAGGTATTTATAGAAGGATTCCAGAGATCTCTCCTCATTTGCCCTTCTTCTTTGGTTTGGCTTAGTTCAACTCACCTCAGCTCAGTTCTACTCACCTCCTGGTTTAACCTCAGAGCAGATTAAAGAAGATTATAATTCCCTGTGGAAACTATGGACTGCTCCAGGACCTCTCTTTCAAACTCAGGTAAGTACCTCTTGATTTTTCAGCTAGTAATAAGTACATAAGTATGGGATGTCAGGATCCCCATGCCAAGACCACCCCTCTCTTTTTACTCCTCTCTTTTACTATTAGGAGACACCCTGTTTTCCAGAGCTAAGGCTCAGTCAGCAAGCTGTGCCCTGAGCTTAACATTGCAATCCTTTGTGCTCGCCCTCTAGATCAACTCTACTGCAGTTAAAGCACAGAATTGGCTAAAGCCAGCCCTAGGTGGTGGCTGAACTTGGACAAGCACCTGCAGGAACCACATTCAGGTCATGAAGCCCTGCTCTGCATAGACTTTTTCCACCAGGCAAACTTATTGCTATTACCCCCTCACTGCTATTGCTGTACCTTACTGCCTGGCTTTTTGTCTAACAATGACTATATATATCAAGGATTAGCCTTGATGCTTTGGGTCTCCTTGGTATTAGAGGAAACTAGTCCCTCCTCCAATGGCAAAAAGACTTTTTGCCTATAAATTCATTTATTTTCAGAGTTTGACAGGGATTTATTACTTTGGAAGGAGGGTCCTGGGACTCCAGAAGGCCAGTGCAAATTGAAGTCAGAATGGAGCAGGCTGGAGCCCAACTTGCTATACATGTGAGAGTGAGACAGGGGAGCCCAGCTTACTATACTTGTGAGGGTGAGAAAGGGGAGACACTTCCCCACTGACTACACAAGCCAGTCTAGGGCTGATATAAGAACCAGAAATGGTCAGTTGGTTGCCCAAGGAAACAAATCTTTCTGGAGAAGAAATTATATTTTTCCCCCTCCCAAGTCTCTTCTTCTACCCGCATCCTCACTCTTAGTCCCAAGCTGCATGGGGAATGTTAGAAGTAAAGACTGAAGAATGTGACTGTCCTTGTTGCTTGCCCAGCTGCTTGGACCCAACTGGTACAAGATTTCTTAGGAATTCTTCAGTATATAAAAGACTCCCGAGTTAGAGAATGAAAGTAATAATATTATTTACGTAGCTGCTACTATATGCCAGACACTCTTCTAGGCACTTTACAAACATCTCGTTTGTTCCTTACTTCTGGGAGGTAGGTACTTTTATTATCCCTATTGAGATAGTTTCTCAGTTGAGAAAACTGAGGAAGACAGAGGTTAAATGGTTTGCCCAAGGTCATGAAGTTAAGTGTCTGAGGCTGGATTTGAACTCTAGACTTTCAGACCCCAGGTGCTTTATCCCCTGTGCTACCTAGCTGTCCCCACCTTGGGACAGAATGTGAGTTCCATTCAGAAAGAGTATTGTACTTGTATTTGTATCCCCCGAGATCTGAACACAGTAGGTGTTTAAGTAAGTGTGTGTGTGTGTGTGTGTGTGTGTGTGTGTTTTGGGGGGGATTTCAAAGAGGCTAGATATGGAACCAGGGAACCTGAGTTCCAGTCTCAGCACTCCCTAGCTTTTGGATCTTGGGCAAGTTCCTTCTGCTCCCTAGATTTTACTTTTCTCATTTATGAGCTGTCAGACTAGATGATTTCTAAGGCAGGAGAGGCTGGTAAATGTTTAACAAGAGGCTCCCAAAAAAAGGGGGGGGAATACACTGAGTATATTTTTTAGATTGTTAACTTGTTCTCCATCACCTGAGGTTCCAGCATATCCTAGCCTGAGCTTCCTTCCAGGTCATTGGGCATAATCCAATTAAATTACAATTAAATAATTACATATTATTTAAGGGACATTTCTTAAATTGTGTAAGGCTGCCACCTTTGGGCCTCCACCTAAAGCCTTACAGAGGAAAAAAAGGGAGATAGGCAAGAGCCACGTGCAAACAATTTGTTCTGTCATTTTTTTTTCCCACTGTTGATTCTTTGTAACCCCAATTCGGATTTTCTTGGCAAAGATGCTAGAGTGGTTTTCCATTTCCTTCTCCAGCTCATTTTACAGATAAAGAAACTGAGGCAAACAGGGTTAAAGTGACTTGCCCAGGGTCACACAGCTAGTAAGTGTTTGAGGACAGATTTGAACTCAGGCAGATGAGTCTTCTTGACTCCAGACCCAGGCATTCTATCCACTTTGCCCAGAAGGCAAACTATTCTGCCACTATCTACCAGTGGAGGAATGATAGGGAGAGAGAGGATAACTGAGGTAAGAAGGCAATTGATTAGACTGTACCATTATCCATAAATGCATGACCTTGGGAGATACCTCACCTGAGACAATATCGAGTGGCTAGATCTAAGCTATATTTTGTAGTGTATTCAGTCATCTCCTGTCTACTGAATGCCTCCTAAAGACACATCCCTCTGCCAGGACTTCAGGGATATATCAGTCAGTCGGTCAAGAAATATTAAGTACGTACTGTGTGCCAGACATTATGATACAAAGAAAGGCTAAACAACTAATTTGGAAATGACAACCCAAAGAAAAGCATAAGAATTAAAGAGGATCAGGAAAGGCTTCCTGTAGGATTTTACTTGGGACTTGAAGGAAGCCAGGGAAACCAATAAGTGGAGAAGAAGAGGAAGAGGAAGAACATTCCAGATGTGTAGACAGCCAGTAAAAAAGCCGAGTCAGGAAAACAAGTGCTTTATGAGAACTACTCTACTTAGCTTTTGCTGCTCCTGCCTAGCCCTCCAGCCACCTTTTGTGTATTATCTACCTTGATTAGGTTATAAGCTCCTTAAGGGCACAGATTGTCTTTGTTTTGATTAATTGTATCTCCAGCACTTAGCACTTGCCTGACACCTAGTAAGTGCTTAATAAATGTTTATTGGATTGGATTGAATTGGAAGAACTTCCAAGACCCAGGTCACTGGGTCACTGAGTGGAGGAGGAAAGTCAGAGTTGTAAGATGTGAGAAGATGGAAAGGCAGAGGGGAGATTATGAAGAGCTTTCAGTGACAGAGGATTTTCTATTTGATCTTAGAGGTGATAGAGAGCCACTAGAGAGTATTTAGTAGGTGTTAATGTGGCTTTAGGAAAATCACTTTGGCAGCTGAGTGGAGTCTAGATTGGAGGAGGAAGAGACTTGTAGAAGGGTCACTAAGAAGCAGGCTATTGCAATAAAGGTGTGAGGTGGGGAGGGAGAGAGTGAGGAGTCAAGAATCCGTATCTAGGCAGGGGCAGTGAATAGAGAACTAGCCTGGAGTTATGAAGACCTGAGTTCAAATCTGGATTCAGAGACTTCCTAGCTATGTGATGCTGGGCAAGTCACTTTTTATTTTATTTTATTTTATTTTATTTATTTTATTTTAGACAATTGGGGTTAAGTGACTTGCCCAGGTATGTGTCAAGTGTTTGGTCTGAGGCTAGATTTGAACTCAAGTCCTCCCGACTTCAGGGCCAATGCTCTATCCACTACCCCACCTAGCTGCCCCAGGGAAGTCACTTCCTTTTTTTTTCTTTTTTTTCTTTTTTTTGGGGGGGGCAACTGGGGTTAAGTGACTTGCCCAGGGTCACACAGCTAGTGAGTGTCAAGTGTCTGGTCTGAGGCCGGATTTGACAAGTCACTTCTTAAAAAGAATTCATACCTAGGTTTCAAGCATGGATGACTGGTGGAGGGAGAGATGGTAGAGAGGGGAGGTTGTGGAAATGTTGAATTAAAAAGTTCTGTACAGGACATTTAGTTTGAGATGTCTCAAAGGTAGTTGGAGATGCAAGACTGGAAGTCAGAGAGGTTAGGATTGGAAAGGTAGATTTGAAATTTATCAGCAGAGAGGTGATAATTGAATCCATGGGAATTGATAAGATCACTAAGTTCAATAGCATAAAAAGGAGAAGAGAAGGCCCAGGACAGAGCCCTGTGGGACACTTACCATTAGCAAGTATGACTTGGATCCCAAAGAAGACTGAGGAGCCATAGGAAAAGTAAGCAAATTGAGTTCTGAAGAGATTCCCTAGTAGAACTTGGAGGCTTAAATCACCAAATTTGAGCCCAACAAAGATGAAGGGCCTAAAACAGAGTTTGCCACAATTAGCTTCAAGGAATAGTTCTTACTCTCATTTTTATCTTCTTGATGAATGGCCACAGGCAGTTTAGTCACTTTTTCTCCCAGAGGTGGGGGCCATGCTTCAGAGTAAGGAGCCACCATTTCTGGAGGCATCACCAAAAGTGATGGAAGCATGAAGGCCATTATTGGCTCACTCTCCTCTGCACCACCCATCCCCCACTTCAACATGCTGGTCTTCTGCTAGTTTAGATTCCATATTGGAACAAATCAAGGCACTCCTGAGTCATCCAACAGTTAACAAAAGCAGATTTACTTAGCTATAGCAGGAGAAGGATATTCAAGATAGGCAATGAGGCCGCCTCAGGTTGATTCAGGTGAATGAAATTAGTTGGCTCTAAAATCTTCTCTTTCCTCCCTCCCTCCCTTCCTCCCCCCTCCAGTCCTTATGTCAGCTTAGTACTCGGATAATGAGGAAATGTCAACAGTCTGAGTCCTTGTTCCCTCCTAAATCTCAAGAAATGTCTCAATACTTTTAAAGGAAAAAACCATTCTAACCTTTAAGGGGGAGGAGGAGAGAAGGGTTAAATGATTGCTTCCCATCACACGAGGGATGAGATTAAAATCTATGAAATATGCAAAACATTTTACACAGTGTTTTCTGTCATTAAAAAAAAAGGGCAATATAGTATAATACATAACATAGGGCAGCCTTGGAATTAGGAGGAACTGGATTCAGGTCTTGCTGATGACATATGTTATCCGTGTGACCAAAATTGAGCAAGTCACTTAACCTCTCAATGCCCCAGACACTTTTCTAAAGTTCTGAAGTCATAGATAAAGGTGACCGTCTTCCTCTGTGAAGGGTATTTATACTCCAGGAGTCCTCCCCCCTCCCCAGGTCTCAACCTCCCCCTCCATCTCCATACCAGTATCAATTCTTCCTAAAAAAAAAAAAAAAAAGGTTAACAGACTCAGACTCCTGTAGCAAAGTTCCTATCCTCTATAACTGTATAACTTCCCTGATCTGGGAAAAACAACAACAAAAACAACATTTAAATAATGTTTTAAGGTTTGCAAAGCCTCATTTACTATTTAAAATATTCTGTGGTACAGTTTTTACCATCTCCTTTTTATAGCCAAGAAAGTTATGTGACTTGACCAGGGTCACACAGCTAGTAACCATCTGAGGCATGATTGGAAGCCAGGACTTCCTGATTTCAAATTCATTTTGCCTTCTTTCAAGCTAAGCTAGGCAAGCATGATTCCCATGAATGGTTTGGACCTGGGCTTAAAAAGGATAGGTTACTGTCTTTGGCCAGGAGAAAAGTCACGTAAGTCCCTTGGAGTGCTCCTTCTGGGTTATCTTCCTTACATGCACTCATAGGCTGAGTCCCCCAGAGGGTGACGAACACAGGTGCAGGGTATTCTGTGTTACTGCTGTCATACATGATCCATATCAGATATGGTACAGTGAAAAACTGATTTATCTTTACTTATGTGAACTAGTGCAACAAAAACACCAGTAAGACTTGAACGTTATAATACTAGCAGTCAAACTTTATTAATCAAATGCATGCAAATATTAGCTTAAAACAATATGAACATTACAGCTATCTGATTTCCTAAGGCTTACCAAAAAATGTGTCTTATATCGGCATTCAGTGATAAGGTTTCCTTTTTGCCCAGCCAGAGGCAGTTTTGATGGTAAGTTCCCCCAGGACAGATATTCAACTAGTTTTTGGAAAAGTAGCTAGAAGGCTGACCAATTTTATTTTGTGACTCTTTTTCCTGTTTCAGCCTCATCGGAATTTAGTAATACTGACAGACTCACAGGAAATTCAACAGTGGAACCTACATCCAAATCCTTGAATGACGGTTCCAATAAGGAAAATAAAGTCAGGAAGAGAACAGCCTACAGCCAAGCACAACTTAAGGAACTGCACACTTATTTCAATCAGAATGCATATCTTGATTCCCCGCAGATAGGACACATATCTCGAAGACTGGGGATTACCCGCAATCAGGTGAGTAGGGGACATTTAAAGGCTCAAGGTGAAAAGTTTTGCAATGAACAAGAAGGTGTTCCAGGTTTGGTTTGGCTTGGTTTTAAATTCAGAGATGTTAAAGGCTTTCTTCTTGGAAGGCCTCAGAGAACAAGGGCTACCAGTGTCCCTTTGTAACTTATCATGGGGGCAGTAGAAAGAATAGTGGTCTGGTTGTCCAGAGAAATAGGTTCCAGTCCTATCTCCATGACTGGATTTTTCACTTGGCTTTTGCTTTGCTCAACTGAAAATGAGGGGACTGGACATTGTTCCTAAAAGGTCTTTCCAGCACTAAGATTTATATACCAGGATAGGAGCTAATACTCAGACACAATCATGTCTTCTCCTACTTCTTTGTCTTCTGCATTTCTTAGATTGTCTTATTTGCATTTTTACCCCTAAACACCTGCCTACTTCCTTGCCTCTTGGGCTACTAACCCATACATCCTAAGCTCCCATTGTAGAAGGAATTCATGCACCTCTGATCGTGCACCACTTTCTTCTCCTTTGTTACTATAGAAACGGCTATCTTACCTTTTCCTTCAACACAGTTCCCTTTAGCATTAAAGAATTCTTTATCTCTTAAACTTTATCTCCCACTTCTCTCCTTCCTTGTCATATTTCCAATGCTTTATAGAAAAAAAAATTTGCCTCACAAATGTATAGGTTTCACTTGATCTCTAGAAATTGTTTGAGGCTTGTGACTCAATATTTTTCCTCTTTGGGTTATGTCTTATGTATATTTTATAAAACATATATTAGAAAAATGTCTATTTTGCCTGATTATCACTACCCTACTCTGTCCATTCTCTGATCTCATGACCTTGCTCATCCTTTTCTGTCAGCTTTTATTTAGGAAAAAAAAATCTCTGCTCTTGCATCCTTGACAGGTGAGAAAATGGTTCCAGAATATGAGAATGAAGAGGAAAAAACAGATGAATGTTTCAACCCAGGAATTCCAGTCATCAAAGGTAAGGATATTCCTCAGGCATTACTCAAGAAAGACATAGCCTGCTGGTTTCTTGGGGTCATCCTTGACTCCTCTTTTACCCTTATCTTCCATATCTAATTAGGTGCCAAATATTGTCACTTCTACATCTAACTATAATGTTTCTAGTATCCATCCCCTTCTTTCTACTTACACTACTTCCTTCCTGCTTCAGCCTCTCCTCCCCTCTTATGTGGACCATTGCAATGTCTTCCTCTCCTCTACCCCTTTCTAACTGGACTCCCTGCTTCAGACCCACCTAAACCATTTTCAGCCTTACACTAGATTCTGGAGATGAAAGCATGTGATGAAACTCAAAAGCTGAAAATTCTGGGGTGAGAAACCAGGGTTGGGAAAGAAGTGTGGCCCCTGGGAGAAAAACCCATATGAGACCCTGATAGTATACCAGTGTTCCCTTCAACTCATGATACATGAGTCATAGTCATGTCAACAAGCATTTATTAAGCACCTACTATGTGCCAGGCACTGTGCTAAGGATTTGGGATACAAGGCAAGGCAAAAACAGCCCATACCCTCAAGGAGCTTATAATTGTATGTGTATGCGAACAACATGAACAAAAAAAGATATGTACAGGATAAATTGTAGATCATCTCAGAGAGAAGGCATTAGCATTAATCTTGTATTGGTAGCCCTGGATCTTGGTAAGCACTGGATCTTGTAGAAGGTAGGATTTTAGCTGAGACTTTCAAGGAATCTGGGGAAGCTAAGAGGCAAGGATGAGGAGGGAGAGAATTCCAAGCAAGGAGGACAGGCAATGAGAATATAGATTCAGGAGATGGAGTCTTTTGTGCAAGAAATGGAAAGGGGGACAGTGTCACTGGATTACAGAGTGTATGGTGGAGGTTGTGGTAGTGGCAGCAGTGGTGGTAAAATATAAAGACAAAAGTTGGAAGGAGCTAAGTTATTTAGGGCTCAAGAAGCCAAACATTGGATTTTATATTTGATTCTGGACCACTAGAATTTACTGAATAGAGGAGTGAAGTGGTCAGATCTGCACTTTAGGAAGATTACTTTGACAGCTTAGAGAAGAATGAACCAGAAGGGGGAGATGTTTGAGGCAGGGAGACCAAGATCCAGCACCCCATTTCATTATTCTAGGTGTGGATTGATGAAGACCTGCATCAGGGTGGTGGCATTGTCAAAAGAGTATAGAAGTGTTCATAGGAAATGTTGTGAAGGTAGAAGAAGGGAAGGAAACAAGCATTTATGGAACACTTGGTATGTGCCCAGGTTTGTGCTGGGCACCAGGGATATAAATATAGGAAACAAAAATGAAGCCTGTCCCCAAGGTACTTAACCTTCTGCTAGGGGAAGAAAACACATAAAAGAGAACTGAAAAATTGAAGTTATGGGAAAAGACAAAGGTACCTACTCAGGGCATGATTTTGAAGTTCAAAAGTCAGGAACAAGAGCTGGTAGAGTAATAATGGATAAAAAAGACAGTACTTGGCATCAAATTGGATATGGGGGATGGATAAGAAAGAATGAAGGGTTGAGGATGGTGCTGAGGTTGTGAGCTTGGGTGACTGAAGGATGGTGTTGCCCTCCTAGACAGTAATAAGTTAGGAAGAAGGGAAGGCTTGGGGGGGAAAGATGAATTTAGTTTTGGACCTGTTGAATTTAATTTGTCTACCAGAAAATTGAGTTTGAAATGCCCAATAGGCAGTTGAGATTTGAGACTAGAGTTCGAGAGAAAGATTGGGATTGAATGAACAAATCTGAGAATCATCTGCATAGACTTTATAATTGAAGGAGAGAAGAAGGGAACAACCATGTATTAATGGCCAAACACTTTACAAATATCACATTTGGTCCTCAAAACAGCACTGTGAAATAGGTACTATTACCCGTATTTTGTAGCTGAGGAAACTCAGAAAGATAGAGGTTTATGTCTTGGCAAGCTCACCTAGCTAGTGTTTCCATGGAAAGATTTGAACACTGATCATTCTGACTCAGAACAAGTGCTTTATCCATGGTGTCACCAGGATGCTTTCACTCTTTGGGATCTCATGACATCATTGTGTCAGATCTTAGTCTACAAGATGGGTTCTGGGGCAGCTAGGTGGCACAGTAAATAGAGCTCTGGCTTTGGAGTTAGGAAGACGTAAGTTCAAATCCAGCCTCAGACACTTAACACTAGCTGTGTGACTCTGGGCAAGTCACTTGACCCCAATCGCCTCACCAAAAAGCAAAAAATTAATTTTTTTTAAAAAAAAAGATGGGTTCTTATACTAGGGAACCATTTGGGATCATCAAATGTATTACGTATTTTTCTTCAAGTCATTGGGTCAACTATCTTCCTTTTTCTTAATTCTAGGCATAGCTCATAATCTATCAAACAGACATTCTATTAGATCAGTAATGGGTGATCTACTCAACTGAATGTCAGTCTCAGCTCTGCATTTGTTTTTTCTCCTCTCTATGAGCTGTCAGGCCTGTTTCTTGAGGAATCATAGATCTCAATGGGAAGGCCTTATAGTCTTAAGGTTTGGTGCCATCAGCACAGCGACAACACTGAGGAGAACTTCTGGCCAACTACTGTAGCCCTAGGGAATCTCTCTTCCCATTTGTATTGTGTATACAACCCTCTTCCACGATAATGGTAAATCTCTGTAGGTGTATTTAGTGTGATCTAGCTATGTGGCTTAGTGGGGTCTCACCAAATTTTTCCTCCACAGTTTCTCATTCCCTTCAATGACTTTTCAAAGGTTTTCTTTTCTTCCCGGTCTCCCAACCTCCCCACCTTCAACAGCTTTCACACTTTAGCAGATTCCATAGCTTCTGACTTTAATCAGAAGAGTGAAGACAGCAGATAGATGTTCCCTTCTCTCAATATTTGACACATCTCTCCTCTGCCCCTTTGACTTATATTCTTCAAGGCAAATTACTGTGCCCTTCATCTCAACCTCTGCCCCAAGTTGACCTTGTTCCTGAAATCATGCCATATCACATAGTTGACTTTGACTGAGCTTAACAGCTTACTGAGAGTCCAGACTTTGTCTCTATGAACTGTCCTGTAGCTGCACAACCCCATGTTCTACTTATTTATCTTTTGACTCAAAATATGAGATACTACATTTATCCCTATTCAATTCTGCCTTACTAGATTCAGCCCAAGCAGGGGTGGGGAACCTGCTGCCTCAAGGCCACATGTGGCTCTTTAGAGCCTCAAATGTGGCCCTTTGAATCCAAACGTCACAGAACAAGTCCCCTTAATAAAAGGATTTGTCCTGTAAAACTTTGACTCAGTCAAAAGGCTGCACCCAAGGACCTAGAAGGCCACATGTGGTGTGAGGCAGCAAGTTCCCCATCCCTATAGCTAGCCTAATAAGAGATAGGGGTTTTTGTTTGTTTGTTTGTTTTGGTATATGTTAGTGATGTGTTTTAGCTTTGTGTCATTGGAAAATTTGATTTTTTTTCAAAGTCAAAGAATGCTTAGTAATGACTTTGAGAAATGGAAGAACAACATGGCATCAAGCACAGATCATTGGGCCACTCCAGTAGAGATCTCTTTGTGTCTGGGCATTCAACCTGTTTGGAATTCACCCAAGTCTACTTCATCATCTTAGCAATGTCTCCATCATGTAGAAGACTGATACGAGATACTTTATCATATTCTTTGCTAAAATCTTGGTAGACAATTCCAAACTTCCCCTTATCCAATGGTGTAGGAATGCTACTTTTTTTAAACAAATGAGATTCATTTGGCACAACTCATTCTTGATGAAGTTGCACTGGTTCTTTGTGATTTCCATTTTCTCTTTCAAACTATTCACTCATCTCTTTTCTGTTCTCTGTGGGGTTTTTTTTTAGGGGTGTAGATAAGTGTAATTAATGGGGATCATGTTAATTAGAATTTAGGAGAATTCTTAGCTCAGTCCTAAGCTGGCATATATTGAACTACCAAGCACATAGAACTTCAAAGGAATCATTTGCTAAACAACATATCACTCCATAAATAATTTCTACATAATCCAAATGCAATCCTTAAAACACAAGGCACGCAATTATTCCTGGAAAGAAAATTGTGCTAGACCACTCTGATAGTCCCAGTTGGACATTTTTCAAATAGAGACAAAGACCTGAGGCACTGTTTAGGTCTTATATGGAGGATTTATAGGAAGATATAAAATCCCATAGGATGATAATGGTTCAGTGGGAGGGAATATCCATGTAGATGAGATTATGGGTGTATTAGAGAGAGGAAGAAGAAATTGATATAAATTTGTGATTTACATAAGCCTGATTTTTGATTTTATCAGTGAGACTTATCAGGGCTCAAGCATGGGTAAGGGAATAGTATGGATGAAGTTACATAGGACTGAGAATTAGCAGATTGGGAATGGCAGAATTTTTAGAGGAAGGGAAATGAAAAGGGATTTTGAGAGTGACCAGGGATTCCCATTGAAAAGCAGCAGAGGAAACAAATGAAGTCAAAATGGTAGAAACATATGGAGAGAACGATGAGGGCTCAGTGATGTGACTACCAAAAAATGATGAACATGTTACACATTCTTTAGGGGTTTAGTGCGCAGGCTAAGGGACAGAGGTCATAATATCATTGTGTACTCTCCTTTACTTATGCACATACAGGACCCTGTGTTTGGTCCTCATCCTCCCTAACCCACATTCAACTTTTGACACCCCATCTTCTTACTCCATGAATTTGTACTGACTGTCTACCACACCTGGAATTTTTTTCCATCCTCTTCTCTGACTCCTGGCTTCCTTCAGAACTCAGTTATAACCCCTATTGTGTAAGAAGACTTTCCTAATACCACTTAATCCTTGTGCCTTCCTTCTGTTACCTCCAATTTATTTTGTGTATGTCTTATATGTGGCACAACGGATAGAGCACAGGACTTGGAATCAGGAAGACTCATCTTCCTGAGTTCAAATCTAACCTCAGCCACTTACTAGTTGTGTTACCCTGGGCAAGTCACTTAACCCTATCTGCCTCAGTTCCTCCTCTATAAAATGAACTGGAGAAGGAAATGGCAAACCATTCCAATATCTTTGTCAAGAAATCCCTAAATGGGGTCACAAAGATTCAGACGCCACTAAAATGACCTAACAACAACATCTTATATGTACATAATTATCTGCATGTCATCTCACCCATTAGAATCTGACCTCTTTGAGATAAGGGACAGCTTTAAAAAATATTCTCGCATTTTTTTTTGTATCCCAAGTGCTTGGTACACTGCCAGACCCATAGAAGCATTTCTTTCCAGAATGCTTCTTAATTTGATTTGACTTGACTACCTTCTTTCCTGGATTTCCTTTTCTCCTTAGGCTTCTGTGACAATGCCTACTCCTACTTCTTCTACCTATCTGACTCTTCCCTTTTGATGTCTTTTGCTGGCTTATTGCTCCCCCTTCTACTACCTATATGGGGGTATCCTTAAAGTGTCCCAGGCCTTCTTCTCTACTCCCTATAACATGTGCTTCCCCTCATACATTCATTCAATCATTTGCCAATCTGGTCAATTTTATCCATTTTCTCCTTCTAACCTCATGGCTCAGTTCAACTGCTGTCTCTTACAAGAGGCCTTTCCTGATTTTCGTTGGTTATTAGTGTTCTTTGAGATTGTTGTTTCTCCCTGCCTACTCTTGTGGTTTGTCTTTGGAACCTTAGCACATAATGTTTAACAAATGCTCATTTGTTAAACAAACAATATTTCTAGGACCTTTAATCTAAGCTTCTTTATCTGGAAAATGGGAATGATTGTTTAGGTTTGCTATTCATAAGCCCTGTTATTACATCAGTTTTCCATATTGACATAGGAGTGTTAGGAGCTCTGCCAAAGTACCAAATAATGATGTCTCCTCTTTATTTTTCAGATGTGTCACCCATCAGTATTGAGTCCCAGTGTGACTCATGGTGTTGCCCAGCCCACAGTTACCTTGCAGCAAAACTCTTGGACAAACACTACTCATGCATTCAAAAGGAACAACCAATCCTGGGGTTACTACTCTCATTTACATAAACAACAGAAGATAGAAGAGTTCCCAAATGGCAATTATCGTCAAGCAACTATTGTTCCCACATATCCCAGTCCTTATTTGGAGCCTAGTGCTTTTCAGTCAAACTACAGAATGGACCAGCCCTGGAATATGTCCTCAATAGACAACCAGCAACAGCAACAAAATATAGGAAATTACCAAGCTGGACTACTTTATGGCTACCCTGAGGCCAACTCATTGACTAGAGAACATACAATCTTCACACAACTTTAATACCATCATAAACCCCAGCCATACTTTCTACCTCATTCTCTAGTCTTGCTCTACCACCATATTAATTGTCTTTTCCCTCAAGCATTCCTTTATTTGGATCTTGTTTTTGAACCAGTTCAATTCTTTTCTTTTTCTTTGGCACTTGTAATTTGAAAAAAAAATCCTTAAATATGAATATTTCATGTAAAATTTTTTCACATTCATTTCTTAAAATTTTGAGTTCCAAATTTTCTCATTTACCATTAAAAAAAAATAAACATAACCACACACAGATCCTCCATCATTTTAAACATTCTCTTTGATTCTTAAAGATATTGGAGTTCTGAGAAAACATATTTTTTATTTGACTGACATGTAAACAATTTACCCCTACATATTTATTTTAAATCAAACCAATATTTATACCTTTTTATGTTTCTATTGGAAAATCAGTCCATCAGTCAGTCAATAAACTTGTATCAAGCATCTGCTATGTGCCAGTTATTGTGTTAAGCACTAGAAAGCAAGTGCATTTGTTTCAAAATGTCTTTTCAGTTCTGGCCTTTTATTAGGATTTTTAAAAAATCCTCTATTCCATTAAAGTTCTATCTTTTTTTCCTATAAGATTATACTTAGTTTTGCCTGATGAGTTGTCCTTGGATGTAAACCTTTGTCCCTTCCTTTTTTGGATATCATATTCTGAGCTCTTGTCTCCTTTATGAGAGTTCTCTTCTTTGTAGTAGTAGCTGCTAAGTCTTGTATAATCTTTATCAGAGTTTTTGGTAATGAACTCATTTTTGCTGCTTATAGTGTTTTTTTTTTTGCCTTGGCCTGCAAGCTCTGAATTTTGACAATGATGTTCTTGGGAATTTTTATTTTGAGATTTCTTTAAGGAAGTGACCAAAGTATTTTCTTTTTTCACTTTTTATTCACTTTTTTTCACTGGTTCTAAGAAAGTTGGTCAGTTCTCACTGGTAATTTCTCAAACTTTGGTATCCAGACTTTTCTGACCATAGTTTTTAGATAGTCCAATAACTCTTGGATTGTCTCTCCTCAAACTTTTTTTCCAGGTCAGTAGTTTTTGCTATGAGATTTCTTAGAGTTGATTCCATTTTTTTTCTTTCAGTCTTGTGGTTTTTGTTTTCATATTGCTTATTTTCTCATTGAGTTGTTTTCTTCCTGGCCCATATAATTTTCAATCTTTGATTGAAGTTATACACCCTCTGTTCCAGTGTCCATTTTCCTTGCCATTCCTTCCTCTCTAGCTTTTCCATTCTGCATCTCTTTTTCTGAGGTACTCTTGTGGTGCCTGTGGCCAGGACAGTTTTTTCTCTGAGGCTTTATCTGAACTTATTGTGGGGTCAATATTCTCTTCAGAGTATACTCTTGTACATCACTCAAACCAAGGTATTTCTCATGGTGTTCAGAGCTTTGCTTGGTCTGTTCCTGATGGAGAGTAGGAGTGTGGAATTTGCTTGGGTCAAGATCTACAGCTGATTGTTATGGGCAGGTCCTGCTTGGTCTTGAATATAGTAGGGCAGACTAGGGCTTTCCTTTTTGTACTCTAGGAATGTTCTGGCCCTAGGTTCTACCTTAGATTCCCATGCTATTTTTGCATGGGTAGTACCCAGAAGCTCCAAAGCCACTGTCCTGCAGCCAAAAACCTTGGATACTTCCGAACTCAAGGAGTGCTTGACCTTCCCTAAGGCTCTAAGTGCCCCCCTGCCCTCTTCTCTTTAAAATTCTCCTTCCAAGCTCCTCCAGTGTTTCTATCCCAGTCTCTGTGCAGGATTGTAGTCAACCTTCTGTGAATTCCTGGGCTGGGCGGAGGAGTCCAGGGGTAGTTCTTTTAATCTCTTAGTAGAGAAGTGCTAATGGAGTGTCTGTGGGGCATCTAGGATCCTCTGGGTCCTAGTACACTTTCATCTTCCCACAATTCAGAACTTCCTTCTTAAGACCTTCCCATCTCTTATGGTACAACCTCCCTTATGGGATTCTAGGCCACGGAAACTTAATCCATCTTTTCTCTGAACTCTTTAAACTCTGCTCTCTCTACATGTGGCTTGTGTATCAGACTATATTTTGGTTTTTCTTGGTTATTTGTGACAAGAACAGGAGTTCCTGAAATCAAATACCTGGGATTCATCAGATTATGAGAAACCTGGGATTGGGCAGAGATTCCTGAGACAAACGTTGCTGGTAGGATTCTTGTCTCTAAAAGTTTGACTTTATCTGTTTTACTGATCCCAGGAATAGTTCTCTTATTTTACAGTTATCAAGTAAAATATGGGGTATGGCTCATCGGTAGGGCCTAGTGAGCTAGGTATTAAGTGGATGCCAACTCATAGAGCATTTGGAATCTTCAGAACCATTTCTGGAAGCCTCACTGTGAGAGGGAGGTACCCCAGTTGTTATATGTTGAAATGGGATTTTTTTTCTTGAAGTGCTATAATAAAAGAGGCGTAGGAAAAAATAGTCTGCAATATTCAGAGCAAAAGTGAGTGCCACACAAGGAGGAAATTCCACCCACAGGAGAGAAGTAATTTGGGAATGAAAATGTTCTTGAAGATATACTAGCATTTTTTTTCCTGGAGGTAAATGGGGTTAAGTGACTTGCCCAGGGTCACACAGTTAGTAAATGTCTGACTCTAGGGCCAATGCTCTATCCACCTAGCTGCCTCAGAAAGTTAATATTAATGTCTGATGCCAGTTTAATTAAATCGACTTCATTGATTCAAAGCTGAAAAGCACCTTAGTCCATTCCCTATTTAAAATGAAAAGGTTGAGTCACAGAAAGGTTACTGACTTTCCTAAAATAACAAAGGTTGTAAAGTAGCAAAGGCTGAATTCTAACTTTGGATCCCTATGCTGTAATGCAAAAAATCCGGCCTAATGCTCTTTCCATACAGTGCATTGCTTCCCTGGAGAAGGAAGTGGTACCCTCAATATATGTCTGCTCCTGGGGAAAGCTCTGCTTGCCCAGCCCTAATTTTGGTTCTGTCACCTCCCTGATTCCCCACAGCCACTGTTTCAAATCTTTTATTTTCTCCTATTGCTCTACCAACTGTATTCCTGTTTCCCACACTTTTGAGTGGGTGACTTGGTTTCCTTACCTCTGGCTCCCCCTACCCCCTTCATCCATTGCTCAAAACTTTTTAGCAGTAGCAGCATCCATAATCCTTCTCTTTGGTGATGGTGGAAAAACAGATATCCTTCTTCTTCACTAAGGCTAATGTGCAGACTTCAGTCTTTTACCTGACTCAGGAAGGCTGGGAATAGTGGTGTGGGGGAAGAAAGCTGGACCTTAGGAAGAACTCTGTCCCTTCTCCTTAGAGGTGGCTTTGGAACCCTTGGCCCTGGTTTCAGGATTTCAGCAGAGATCTAAGAACCTAGTAGGAAGTTGGGGAAATACGGGAGAGAGGCAAGGAGAGGTTGGGCTAACACAGTAATGAAGGGCTTTTTAATACCCATTCCTTCAAGATGACTTTTTAAAAAGGCACAAATGTTTAAAAAGTAAAAAATTGGATTTCCCGAAGTTCCTTATTCTGTCGACGAGTTTAGTTCGACGTATGTCAGTGAAGGTCCAACGGTTCCATCTGGCCTTGGGATTTTGGCTAATTTGAAGAAAGAAAGGGAGAAGCTGGGCTTTAAGTCCTGTGGACACAGTGGTTCACTAATTCCTCCTCCCTCTCCTTCTCCTCCTTACTTGGTTGATCTCGTGTTAAGACTTAAAATTTAAATATATCCAGAATTACCTCTTGGTTTCCTCAGAAAAATGAGATATAAAAGCTGTAGTCCCGTTTTGTAATTCAAATAGTTAGTTCTTAAGCAGGTAGCAACGCCGGAAGTCTCTGTGGCGCAATCGGTTAGCGCGTTCGGCTGTTAACCGAAAGGTTGGTGGTTCAACCCCACCCAGGGACGTTTTACTGCGAGGCAGAAGATAAAAGCATTTCGTTCTATTCATACAGAGGATTGGCAAAACCTACCACCAAAAACGCTTCTGTTTACGAATTTACAATTCATTCTAGGAATAGTAATTACTTATGTACCTCAGATTATTCTAACAGGAAAAGGATAGAGCGGGACTTCTTCGTCTGGGTTATAAGGTGTTTGGGGCGTATTTTGTACTTTCTCCTCTGATAATCCCTCAGGTTTCTCTCCTGAATCCGTATCCCACGGATATTATTACAGGTAACCATAGTAGTGACCGCAACTCTCTCTTTCTGCCTGTGGAAAGAAGCCACGTAATGGGTTGGCGTCAGTCAGACCCTGGAGATTCTCCCAACAGAATACCTCCGTCCTTTCCTCAGAGACTGGTTCCATGATTACCATATCAGGACCAAGGTCAAGAACGTTCTACTGTTTAGGGCTCAGGGGCTTCCGGGAAACCCCAAAATCAAGAAGCGCCAGTGGTGCGACCAAGACCTGATGGGACTCCGGAATCCGACATTCCAGTTTAAGTGACTTCCTCCAACCAACCACCCCCGACCCCAATCCCGCTCACTCTCCATCTCCCTCGCAGCCAGGTGGGCTTGGTTCTTTTGCCGAGTACATTTATTGACATGAGGCAGCGAGGTGAAGTGGATAGAGACCTCTTCCTGTCTCTAATACCTAATCTCCAGTGTTCCAGACAACTCTCTAAAACGGGGATTCTTAATATTTTCAGGTGGTGTCTTGGTGGCAGTATTGGAGAAACTTTATTGGCCCCTTCTCAGAACTTTTCTGATCTGGTCCCTGTTCATTTATTGATGTTTTCTCTTCCCTTAAAGAAGTTGTTTAAAGGACGATTTGCCTTGTGTGCCAATGTCCCCCCACCTGCAACTTTTTCTTCTAATTCCCAACCGTGTATCTGCAAATTGGGGGAGGGGGAGAGTCTAGGGCAGGGTGGAGATGGCACAGAAAATGAATAAACACCTTTATAGTGCCAGGCATTGTACCAGGTGCTTTTTAAGAAATATTATCTCGTTAAACCATGCCCATTTTACAATTTAGGAAACTGAGGCAAATAGAGGTTAAGTGACTTGCCCAGGTCACACGCCTAGCAAGTATATGAGGCCAGATTTGAATTCAGTTCTTCCTCAGCCACCAATGGGACATGGTCACAGTTTGATGAAGAGAGGTGAGATCTTTCAACATTCTCAGATCAAGTTCTAGGGTCATCTTTTTTTCATTAGAATCTTGGCTAGAATCCATACAAATAGCTAGCATAAAAGAAAATGTCTTGGAGACAGGGCACACCTACCTATCCCTCTTTGACAGTCACTACAGAAAGAAAATACATTTATTTCCCTGACACTCAGCTTTGGGTGACAGAAAACTGCAACATGAGCTTAAGACCCTCCCTCCAACATTCCACCTGATGGGTTTTGTCCATCTCCACTCCCTCATGAGATCAACTTTTATTCCTTATCTGCAGTTCAAATTCCATTCAGAGTACTAGAATAAAAGGAATTGGGGCAGGACAAAGATTGGGAGGGATTTTTCTGTTGAAAGCCTATAGCAGCCCTTTGGACCATGGTACAAGAATACAGTATAAGAATAATATCCATTTCACTGCAACTCCATTCTCTACTCCACCCCAGTGGAATTCAATCTGAACCATATTTCTCTCCCCATCAAAGGCCACACTCCTTCACCCTGGATACTGCCTCAGTCTTCCTTATGTGGATGTGTTTAGAGATAGGTGAAGGACAGTGATTCTCCTGAGCCAAACCTGCCATTTTATTTGTATGCCTTCCAGTCCAAACTCAGCTAGCAATATTCAAGACTAGGAGTCTAGCTAATGTTATCCAAAGCTTCCTCAGTTCTATAAAATGTTCAAATTATCTCCCCAATGAAAACTTCAGGCCAGTATGACCAGCACCTTCCAATCCCTCCTCCAATTCATCAATCCCTCCAATGTCTGTGTTAGGCTGAGGATAAGGAGGAAAAGCTGAAAGGTTGAAGACAGGGGAAATGGACAGAGCCCAGTGAACTGCTTGTGTTGTGTTGTGCATAGAGATGTAGCTTCTCTATTAGTCTGTATTCAGCGCTCGTGGCACCTATACCCTGTTGAAGAAAAGCACATTTCTTCCCTAGGTCAGACTCTGTGGAACTGTGCTCTCTTATTTCTTATCACTTATCCAATCTGTATGGTTTTTTTTTCTTCTTCTAACACCAGGAAGATGCTATAGTAGAAATAAATAAATGGAAAAAAGATGCAGAGAAACAGAGTGGAATCCTGATCTATGTCAAAATGTTGAAGGGAGGAAGAAGATGGTACTGAGTAGATAGGAAAGAAGAGAGATCACTAAACACATAAAGTTAAGTAAAAGATATATGGCTCTTCCCAAAGTAGAGCACTCTGGACACACTGAGGAAGCAGCTTCTTGTCTTGTAAGAAATGATAATGTGTTTTTGATGGAGCTAGCAGGTGAAAAAGTAGCCAACGAAGGTCAGAGGAAGGAGGTGTGTGTAATGGTGGTTGGTTACTTCCTGATGAGAGGTACAGAGCCAGATATTTCTCATCTAATAATAATAATAGAGAAACCAGCTGTTGTCTCCAGACACATAGACAGAAGATGAGAAGAACTTCCCAAGATTCACCAAATTTGATTATTGCTATATTAGGGACTTCTGTTTGAACATAAGTGATCTTGCCAATGGTAAAGAGGCTTCTTTCAACAACTGTCTTTGTGAATATAATAGTTAACAACCAATATCTTTTACCTGTTTGAATGCAGAAGGAAAGACTAATCTCATCCCTCACTTAGTTCCAACCAGTATAGTATAAATGAATACAGATAGGTCATTTTCAATCCTAAACTGTGGTTCTCAATGGTGGTCTGAATTGAAAAGGTAGCTTCCTGTTTACTAATTGAATAAGGCCCTCTCAATTCAAAACTGATTCCTTTACTGTAGTAGCTCAGAATATAAGAGGTAAAGTATCACTTCACCCTTAGAGGAGCAGAGAAATAGCTTTAGATCTCAGCAATAAAGGACTTAGGAACATGTGACTCATTTGAGTGGAAGCATTAGGCAAGGAGTCAACCAAGCCCTCTAGGGTCTTAGCCCTTAACCTTGTTCTCTCTCACTCTATTTCTCTTTAGCCACAAGGGAATAGCCTCTTTCCTCTATTCATATATCCTCCTTCCCCTGGGACTGAGCAGAGGAGTCAAGACTTAACCCTATCCTTGTTTTAGCCCCTTTCCCTTCTCGTTTCCTTCCAGTTGAGCAGAGTCTAAGAAGTAGCAGAGGACTGGCCTTGTTCATGTGCTTTCTTTGTTTCCTGCTCTTTTTTTTTTGGTCCACTATGAGAGAGTAGAAGCTTGACTTTGATATTAGTCCTGACTTTCTTCTTCAGAAGAATGGGGCAATGGGGATATGTGGGCAGAATCAATGAGCAGAGGTGGATAGAATGCTCTTCTGGCTGGCAAAAAAAAGCAACAAGAAGTCAACATCTATCAGTTTCTGTTTCTGTCTCTGAGTCTCACTTTCTATTTCTCTGTCTGTCTGTCTCTCCCCTACTCTCCTTTTCTCTACCAGGACTTGGTCCTTTTTATAGGCTAGCCTTCCTGAGGCTTGAGTAGGTATTAATCCAATGCAATGCTTTTTCCATGAATACTTGTGTAAATAACCACAAAAAGACAAGAGGGGATCTGCAAGACAAAAGTCAGACATAGGGTATAGGGGATGTTCAGGGAGGACTAATACCTCTAGTGTGGGGGTTGCCAAGCCCTTTTCAGGGTTGCCTATCCACCTTTGGTGTCCACTTGCCACCTAACTCTCCTCTGTGCCTCCAAGAAGCTGTGCATGTGCAGGGGCCCCATCTCAGTAAAACCATCTTGGCAGAAGGGCTAAACCAGGTTGAGGGTGACTGAGGGGTCTCAAACCCCTTAATGAGTTGGGGAGGGGTGTCTACCCCAAGCACATGAAGCTTTCTTGGTAGAATAGGCAGATGTCAACAATTTATTCCAGTGGGCTATGAAGTCAGTGGAAACAAGAACTGTGGAGCACGTAGAGCTTGGTCAGACACCAAGGTTACCAACTGTATCCCAAGCCATCAATAGTTGTCTTGACTTGTGTCTTGCCACTGGATTTAATGACTCTGGAAGCGTGAGGCTGACAACTTCATACAACTCTGCTTCACTTAAATCCAATTTATGCTTGAGTCAAAAGACATCACCCATACCATTTTACATTTCATTATTTTGCTATTTCATTATGTTACTATTTTACCTACCTCAAAGTCCTATGGCAACAGGCAAGTGATGAAACAGCAGGTGCACAACTCTGCACACAAGTGGCCCAGACCATAGGGTCATCTTCTCACTAGACTGAAGTAGCAGTGGGATTCAGCAGCCCCCTGGGTGTCCGAGGAGCCTTTTTGAAGGACCACACTGCTCACCTCTTTGCATGAGTAAGGGACTAGAAGAAGTGTCCTAAAAATTGTCTGCTTACCTAATCTGCCTGCTTATCATGGCAGGCGGGAATCCCACATGTGGTTGCAACACCAAAAAAAGTACAAAAACTTTTGCAAAGACAATTGCACTCACATGGAATGTGTGTATGCTTATGGACAAAAGTAGACCTGGAAGATGAATAGCTCTTGCTGTGAGAGAATTTAGCATTTATAGGTTCTAAATAGCAGCCTTAAGTGAAACAAGGCTGACAAATGAAGGTCAGCTTACAGATGTCAGAGCTGAATACATGTTTTTCTGGAGTGGCCTCCATGATGAGGAGTGTGGTGAAGTTGGCACAGGTTTTGAAATCAAATCTAATCTAGTCAACAAACTTGTATGCCTCCCAAAGGAGTGAACAACAAGCTGGTGATAATGCAGTTATGATATAGTAAAGTGCTATGCCACCAAGATCAGTGTGTGTGTTCCCACCATGATGAAACCTGATGAGGTCAAAGTAAAATTTTATGAAGACCTGGAGGTGTTTATCATCCATTTGCTGAAAGAGAACAAACTTGTGATTCTGGGTGACTTTAATGCCAGAGTAAACACAGACTATCAGACATGGCAGGGAGTCCTTAGGAGGAATAGAGTCAGAAACAGTAACAGCAACAGTCACTTGCTGTTGAAGACTTGTACAGCTCACAACCTCATTAACAACACTGTCTTTCTGTTTGCCTAAATGCAATAAAGTTTTGTGGATGAACCCTCACAGCTAACATTGGCATTTAATAGACTATGTCATTGTAAGGAGAAGAGCTAGACAGGATGTGAGAGTGATGAAAGTAATGTGTGGTGCAGAATGCAGGACCAGTCATAGACATTCTCTCCAAGCTAAACATTCTCATTCACCAAAAGCAGCAGCCCCAAGGCAAGATGACTATCAGAAGACTCAAAGTCAACAGATTAGAGTATTTCTCTATGCATGGACAGTTTATTGCTGACTTGGAGGGAAAACTGAGCCAACAGCAGCAGTAGAGGAGAAAAGGAGCGGGCAGCTTTCAGAGCTTTGGTGTACAGTACCAC